AGTAGTAACCACTAGTTCGGGTGTAGCAGTGAGGACATGAAAATCCACGGATGGGTTTATGGGTTTTCCCAGAGGGATTAGACCTGATTAAGCCAGTGGTAAGACTGTAGGAACGTCACTACAATTATGAGATCAAGGAAGAAATGGATTACTTAGGGTTTCTTGTGATGTAAGGCTACCATTGGTCATGTAGCAATTGCTTTTAGCCATGGATTTGGTAACGACGGGATACGACGCATGGATTCGATCGGTTGGATCAGGAGGTTGTTAGAGTCGCAGTGGCATGATAACTAGTGGCAACTAGTTCTAGGGAAGGATTTCGTTCGGAAGTCATGTGAGGCAACTACGTGGGAGACCTTTAGCTCCGCGACCGGGCCGGAACCCGGTATTTCAGATGAGTGTTACTCGGTTGTGGCGAATCAGAGGATTTTTGGATGAGATGCAAGGATCGGTCCTTGGATTTCAATTTATGGGTTAGACCCGAGTTATGGATATAGTGGTATTCCAATCTAGGGTATTCCATCATGAGGATGACCGGACCGTACGATTGACTGGACCTAACGTGTTTGGTATTCCAACCCGAGGGTTGATTGGACCAAACATGTGTGTGATACGAGGGTATTCCATCCTAGGGACGACTATACCCGTCGTAGGCATGCCTGGTATTCCAGCCCGAGGCTAATTGGGCCAGGTATGAGTATTTGTGCTTATGAGCCGGTTATTATATGTATGTGGTTCGGGAACTAAAGGATCATAGTTAGCAGTGTGGGATTTGTGATTTTGTTTTCTAGTGGGAACCTCAGGTTATCAGAAGTTGAGTAGCCAGTTGGGAGCTAAGTGCAATGCATTCGAAAATGATCCAGTGTGGGCAGTCTGTCAGGGAGCCAGACCATCTCGAGACTTCAGATTTCGGATTGAGTAAATGTGATCATATTGCAAGGGATTTGTTTATTTTCAGGTCTTGGAACCCTGTGAGGGTTGGTTACGGTTGCCTTGGAAAGGCTAGGGTGAAGCTCGGGATTGTAGTGCAAGTTGTTCGGCGTGTAAGGAATGAGAAGAAACGATTTCGAGGACGAAATCAAATTTAAGTGGGGGAGAATTGTACATCCCGTTTAAATAGAATAATTAAATAATAAATCAGGAACCCCGGGAAGTAGTTATTATGATTATTTCATACTATTATAGTCCAAGATCAATTAATAATTATTGGAATGTTAGTTTCGGGGATTAAAGAATAACATTGGACTTAATTTGAAAGGGTCTTGAATGGTTGGGGTTAAAAGAGTAAATTTTGGACCTATATTGGAAAGATATTGTAAAAAGAGGGGCTGTTGGGTAAATTGCGGGTTTAATTTGAAAGAAGTTTCTGGAGTCAGGGTAGAAACGGTAACATTTGGATTAGTTTTGAAAGAATCGGGGGGAAGGAGGGACTGATCCTGTTAATATGGGATAAACTTGTATGGGGCATGGGGTATTAAACCCGTCACCACAGTGAACCCTAACCGTAGCGAAGAACAGCCGCAACTCCACCTTATACCCCCTCCATCCGGCCGCCACCTCCAGCTCCTTCGTCATCACCTTGCACCATCGAACGCTATGCCACCGCCTCTGAAGATGAAGGCTGCCTTTAGGGAGCCTTGACAGTTGACGATCGGAAGAGGCCAGCCTTGGGTCGTATTTTCTGCCGTTCACTGTTGTATCCTCCACCGGCAAAGACCACCTCGCACCTCTCTACTGTCGGGATTGCTGCCCTGTGCGCTGAAACGGCGAATACGCACTCGCCGACGCCCATGTCGCCATCCGATGCCATTGACGCTCCAATCGCCGTTATTCTTCATCTTCTATTTATCCTGTCGCCTGCCGCCTTGTGGGTGGAGGAACTCATGGCGTTTCCTGCTATCACCGGTGAATGATGGTTTGGTTCAAGGCTCGTGTGCGACGTGGGAGCGCTGTGGGGGAAGTTCTATCGAGTAGGGTCGTGGAGAACCACCATGGTAGCCGACCATGGTGGCTGTCATCGCAATATGCCGCCTTACGCCGCTAGATCGATGGAAGGATCCGTCTTCAAGCAAGAAGTGTGTGGGTGTTTGTTTTTGCTATAGTTGGTGTCGTGTGTGTAGCTGTTGGCTGGAAAATCAAGGACAGCCACCACCACCACCGTGAGGTGGTGGCTGCCACCATGTGCCACCTTGGCTGTGTGTATGTTAGTTAGTGTGTATTTATTTTGGGTTAACACATTGTAAGGTGTAATTAGCAAAAAGTATAATGAAAAGAAACCCTAACCACCACCGTGAGGTGGTGGCTGCCGCCTCCTGCCGCCACCGGCCGCCGTGTCGGGTGGCGGTGTGCTTGCCTTGTTGAGTTTGAATCGCTTGGGGTGCTTGAAACCCTAATAGGCCCAATGAAGCCCTAATGGGCCTTGTAAGCTCTAATGGACCCTAATTGACCCAAATAAAACCCTAATGGGCTTAATGATATTCTAGTGGGCCTAATAGGCCCAATAAAGCCCTAATTGACCTAGAAGCCCAACAAATTGATAAATGGGCTAGCATTTGGGTTGGAAACCCTAATTAGGGTTTGGAAAACCCTAATGCCAACAAAACCCTAATTTGGGGAATTAACCGGGACACACGGGAATTATTTAATAACTTGAGATATTAAATAAAAATCATTGGCAAAGATTAATCTAAGCAATATTGGACTTAATGGATTAAGTCCTTAGAGGATTAAGTCCTTAATGGGTTAAGTAGGAAACTTAACCCTAATCACCATTTTATGTGAAACCCTAATTCCAATTGGGCTTTGTGTTGGGCCTTTCTTTTGGGTTTTGGTGATTGGACTATTAATGGGCTTTCCAAGAATAAGTAAATGGACTAAATAATTGTATGGGTTTTAGGATAAGGCCCATGTGAGGACTTGGGCACAATTTGGAAAATTGGGCCATAATTGGACCTTTATGATTATGTGATATTGGGCCATGGGAATTGGACTGGAATAATTGGATGGGCCTTAAGGAAATACCATGTAGAGGTCTGGTCCCAATTTGGAAAATTGGGCCATATATTGGGCTTTGGCCCATTACTTGACTTTTGGGCCTTTGGAGTGTGAGTTGGACTTTGGGCTTGGAACCCAATTATTAATTGGGTATTGTTTGATGTTGACAGTTCGGGAATCTGTCGATTAGCAGCTGGAGTGTACCTGCGGGACTTCAGCAGTGCCAGGTGAGTTCTCCTCACTATATCAACAGGGTCTACGGCACCAAGGTCGGCCCTTTATGATTGCATCCTGGTTTTAGGATGTTGTTATGCTATGTAATCTGTTAGATACGTATGATTATCTGTATATATGTTAGTGACCTGGTTAGGTCGGTATCCTGGTTATAGGATGTTGCTATGCTATGTGATCTGTTAGATCCGTATGATTATCTGTACATATGTTAGTGACCTGGTTAGGTCATTATCCTGGGCATAGGATGATGCTATATTAGTGACCGATTAGGTCGGTATCCTGGTTATAGGATGTTGCTATGCTATTTGATCTGTTAGATCGGTTTGACTGTTATATATGCTAGCGTATGATATGTATGTGCACATGTTTGTTTGATTGTGGGTTTGGGTTGAGGCGGTCCTGCTTTGTGCTGAAGGCCAACATACCCAGGGCGGTCCGGATAGACTACAGACCCATGAGGGTATGATAGTCAGACCAAAGGCCCGACGAGCGGTCCGGATAGGCTGAAGGCCCTACGAGGCGGTTCAGACGTGCCGAAGGCTCGGAGAGCGGTCTAGATAGACTGAAGGTCTGCGAGGCGGTCCAGTCACCATTTTTAAAAAGAAAAAATTTATTGTGACCGCCCAAACACCATTTTTGGGTATGTCTAACTATAAAATGCATTATTTTCTACCAATACCAAAAATTGTTTTCAAATTTGCCAACTTCCATATTGTGAAGCCATATCCTTCACATATTTTCACATATTCTGTCATGGTTATATCAATACAATTGTCCTGAAATGGGTGCGAAAACAAGGGTTTGATATTTAAGGAAAATTGAATTTCTCAAGGATCGTGTATGTTTAACTTTTGTATCAACTATGGGTCAACAAGAAAACCAATTTGGATAATTTGTGAGGATCGTGTTGTTACATTTTTTAAGAAAATATGAGTATATATACTAATCTATTCGAAAATTAGATATGGTTGACGTAAATTACAAAATCTTCTGTTGAAAAACATTTTTAGGGAAAACTGTCTAAACAACTTGAGCTCAAGTTGCCATAGGCAGCTTGCTGTCAAGACAGCTTAGGTTGGCAGGTAGGCTAACGAAGCTTTGTTTCTTCAACTTTCCCCAAGTCTGATCATGTTCTCCATTGCATTTCAAGTCCATTATACTCATTTATATTCTTTTATCAAATAAACATATTATGTTGTGGCAAATTATCGACAAACTAACATTGCATTTGTCCTATGCACGACTTTGATTTGTGATTTGTAAACACAAGTACAAGCATAAGTACATTTTAGCTCCACATGTTGTAGAAATGTTTTTCCTTAAAAGGCTGTTGAATTTTAATAACTTAAGAACTAACGGTGGAAGAATCAACAACAAACAGATCTGATCCAGTACATGTCATAATGATCACAGAATCAACTGAACCATACATGTGATTTGCCAAAAGATTCTTCTAATTTGATCATATGATTCAGATCAAAATCTTAGATCTTGATTACGATTAAAATAAATCAAATAACTAAGAAGCATGCTACAAACAACACATCCTGAACTTGAAGAAAGAAAGGAATACGAAAGAAATACCAAACATATGATTAAAATTTCATGATTGGATTACTCCAACTATAGAAGATTTCATAGTAAAATTTAACAAAAGAATTCTACATTGTTTTGAACCAAATCAAATACATTAGTAATAAATTAAAACTATAAACTTGTTTAAACTCAAAACCCACAAAAAGAACACCAAAACATTATCACCTGATCATGATTCAGTTGCTTATCCCTTGAGCCGAATGCCGAATATCAAACTGATCTACATACTCCAATGGAGTAACACTTTCGTTTCTGATCCTCTTGATTTTAGGACTCAAAAGTCCCCTGTGTCTGAATCCATATAACTTAAGCACTTGATTATCTGCAAAATTAAAAGCTCTTTCCATGCTACTCAAACACCTTTGAACTGGGTAATCACCATAGCTTCCACAAGGCTTACACCCCACAAAATGAGTCACGAAAGGCCATCTTTCATCACCCAATCCAGGGTGATATTTCTCCATCATTTCTTCATATCTATCAACCAATCCAGCCCAATACCCATGAAGGAAATAAGAGTTTTCAACAAAAACTTTCTTCATCCACTCTGTTTTTGTAATCAACAAGTATATCAATGCCGATTGATCATCAGCTTCAAATGCAGGTCGCCCTTTCAAATTGGCTGTCAATATCTTCCCTGCTTCTTCACGAACAGGCCCTTTTGGCCCCATTGGTGCCCATTCATCGAGTAAATCCAAAGACCATTGACAATTTCTAAACAAAAAGCTACCAGTGTTGAGTGCGATCCATGATTTCTGATTGAATAACAAATCTGGGTAGCCATGGATGACCATGTTATGATCTTTGTATTTGGATAATGGAATTTCAAATACCATATCTGTGAACAATGCGTCACTGTCCATCCACCAAATCCACTCGACTTCTGGATGAGAAAGCATCAACCTGCGAATCAATGGCAGTTTCGCCCAATACCCAGCAAGCTCTTTATCCAAATGAGCCATGTTATACACAATTTCGATCCCGTGAATCCTACAGTAATCAATCTTGTTCTTAATCGATTTCAGCAAGTAATGATCACCAATGGCGTTATCACAAGGGCTTGGTGGGGACCCAGTAACAAGCAAGATTCGAGCTTTACCATTAACGATATTAGGGAAATCTTGATTTCGACTGAGCCACAGACTTCGTTCTTCGTCCCAATTCGAGATCTTTGCACCAAGAGAGTAAGTGTCATTGAGATTGATTGTAGTTTGATCTAGATTCTCTTCTGGGTCATCGGGATCCTTGTCGGATCGGATCTCAGCCAGGATCCGATTAGTTTCTTCGATAATTGCTTGGTTCTCTACATCATTGTCAGAAGAGAGCGACCCGAAACCAATTGTACCACGAAGAACAAGAATTGTAACTAAACCACAGAGAATTGTGATCTTGATGTTGTTAAGCGTTTTATGGATCTGACGGTTGCCGCCGCCGCGGAGGAGAGATCGGCTGCTCCGGGAGCCGCCGTTGGGGGCGGTGGAAGTGGGTAGTGTGGAAGCGCCTCTCTTTTGAGCAGTGAAACCATCTTGACCCATAATACTCTATCGGAAATTGCAAACCCCAATTCTCGAAAAGGGGTTTTAGAGATTGAGATTTGTGTGGGAGAATCAATAATAGTTTATGAATCAAAAAACAAGTGATTGAGTTATGGGAAGATTCAATCTTCCTTCCATCATGGACAAAATCAAGAACTCAAAGATTATAATAATTAGAACGTGGGAGAGAGTAAGATGGTAGATGCAAGAAAATGGTAGATGCAAGAAGAGCACCGACTGTTTGTGTGTGTTTATGAGTGTGTGTCAGTACGTGTAAATTTTTTATGTAAAATATCATTAAAAAGACCATGAAGAGACTTAGATTAAATACTAAATTGTAAGATTTTAAGAATGAAAACGAAGTGTTTTGTTTTAATGAACGCGTAAATCTTGATGTTTTGCAGCTTGTTGTTTGTTCGAACTGTGTTTGACTAATTACTTTTGGACAGCTATCAATGCATTAACCATTACAAATAATAACGCGTTACCTAAAAAGTGCAATTATATACATATAAAATCTTTCTATGTTTCCAAAAACTTTCCTTAAAATTTTGTACGAAATTTGACTATATATTACTAAAAAATATATTTATTTTATTATTCTTTTGTTTTATCACTATTCTAAATACGTCAAAAACTTGTAATCGGTTTATAAAGATTTATTAGTAGGAATTGCCTTTTTGTAATCATTAACCAAAAGGTCCTAAACGGATAAAAGGACCAGAATATATATTTGGACCTTGGAAATGGGGATAACAATCTTAATTGGGGCCTATACAAGATAATTTGTTATTTAGTTCAACTGTCTCTTTTTTATAGATTATAGTTTGCAAGTAAATAATAGAAATAGTTTATGTGGATGTCAAGAGTTTGTTATGCCGGTTTTTGAAAAACCTTTTTTAAGATTATGCATTTAAGTTTCGATTTTTTTTGCGGTAATGGCTCGTGTCTCTTTGTACTTTTTAATTTATTATATTTTTCTCTAATTTATTTCAATTAAGAAGGCAAAATTACTTTAATGGTCTTTATATTTTACAAAACAATTACAGATTTAATGTTTAATTTTTTTTTCTTGATAAACATGATCCATGCAATTTCGATTACTTGTTTGGTTTTAATTTCTTACATGGTTAATATTGATGGAAATAATGTTGGCGGTAATTTGTATTCTATCCACTTTGGGGTTAAATAGAAACAAGGGTACAAGGAATATACAACCAATGAATCACTACAAAGAATAAATCAAATAATATATTCATGGAGAATATATTCAGTTATCTCCCCTCAAGTAAGACCGATGGTGGACCAACACGAAGCTTGTCACGAAATTGTGCAAATAAGGGACCGACAAAAGGATTGGTGAAGATGTCGGCAACTTGAAGTTTGGTGGGGACAAAACTCGTTTGAAGTTTGCCATTTGATACAAGTTCCTGGATGAAACGATAGTCAATTTTAATATGCATGGCTCGCCAATGAGCAACCGGATTTTGGCTATGGAAGATGGCACTTAAGTTGTCACATAAGATAGTAGGGAAAAACGAGGGCACGTCATTAAGATCCCGTAGAAATGGGTGATCCAAATAAGTTCATCAACGGTATTTGCCATGACACGATACTTAGATTCACAAATTGAGCGAGAGACCATCGGTTGCTTTTTTGCACTCTAAGAAACAAGGTCACCTCCAAAGAAAATTGAATAACCATAGGTAGAACGTTGTGTTTCAATGCAACGTGCCCAATCTGCGTCGGAATAGCCAATAAAAGATGCAGATTTAGGGAAAGAAAAATGAAGACCATGAGAGATGGTGCCCTTTACATATCGTAGAATGCGCTTGACCATCTGAAAATGATCAATTGTTGGAGCACGAAGGAACTGGCTAGCATTGTTTACAACATAGGATAAATCTGGTCGAGTGATGGTAAGGTACTGTAATGCCCCAACTATGGATCGATAATGTGTAGGATCTGAGTAAGGTGTGCCAGTGCTAAAAAAACATCATGTGTAGCAAGAGGTAGCTACATGCTTAACATCAAGGAGAGTGACATGGGTAATAACGTCATGGGCATATTTAGATTGATTAAGAAACAATATATCAAAAGTATAGGTAACTTCAAGGCCAAAAAAGTAATTTAGTGTGCCAAGGTCTTTGATTGCAAACTCCTGATGTAGCCTTTCAATGAAATAAGAAATAGAAGTCCCGTCACTCCCGATAAGAATGATGTCGTCAACATGGACGAGAAAATATAAAAAACAAGATCCTTGTTGAAAAACAGACAAAGAGGTGTCAGTTTGACTGCATTGAAAACCTTGCTTGAGAAAAAATTAGCTTACGCATTGAGACTAAGCTCTTGGAGCTTGTTTTAGGCCATATAAAGCCTTATTCAGACGACATGCATAATTTAGATGTTGTGGATCAACAAACCCGAGTGGTTGTTCCATGAAGACGGTTTCGGATAAATGACCATTTAAGAAATCATTCTTCACATCGAGTTGATGAAGAACCCAATGATTTGTAACAGTAATAGATATAAAGAACCGAACCATAGAAGCCTTGATCACGGCACTAAAAGTATGAGAAAAGTCAAATCCTAATACTCGAGTAAAAACCTTTGCCACAAGTCTAGCTGATAGTTTCATTTTATTTACTTCTTTTCCTAGTTTATTTTAGCTCATTTTGTCTCATTTTAGTTAGTCATTATGCACATTTTCTCTTTTTTTTTATTTTTCATTGTAACATCCCAAATTTCGAGTCCAAAAATTTCTTTTAAAAAAACATTACTGATTCATAGCATTAAGTCATTCAAACATACTAAAAGGGTTTATATGACAAATCATAGTTTCATTTCCAAAACACTTGTTTAATTATCAGAGTAAACATCCCAGGCTAACTTGCCATGGTGTGTGCACTGCAACCCTTCCGAGCTCCTCTTCTAAAAACTGAATACCTGAAACCAAAACTGAAAACCGTAAGCACGAAGCTTAGTGAGTTCCCCAGATACCACATACCATACAAACCAACTGATCCATACATACCATACGTAACCATGAGCCATACATAACAAACATATCCATAATCAAGTAAAGTGCTATGTGCCAAACATAGTCTTGCTAAGGTGCTATGTGCCAAACATAGTCTTGCTAAGGTGCTATGTGCCAAACATAGTCTTGCTGTTATGCCACGGGCCGCACGTGGTCTTCCTGGTCAAGCCTGGGGCCACTCCCTGGGTCTTACAGACAAATGCCAAGGGCCACCCCTGGTCTTCCATGCAAGCATCACAAAGACAACTATACATACTACTCTACTAGGCTACTCAGCATACAGTGTGCCAGGAGCCACCTCCTGGTCTTTCATTCATAATAGTATACAGTGTGCCAGAAGCCACCTTCTGGACTTTCATACATGTTGCCTAGGGCTAACCCCCGGGTCTTCCTACCATACATAATAACATACTATGTGCCAGGAGCCTCCTCCTGGTCTTTCATGCATAATGCCTAGGGCTAACCCCTGAGTCTTCCTACCATACATAATAACATAGTGTGTGCCAGGAGCCTCCTCCTGGTCTTTCATGCATAATGCCTAGGGCTAACCCCCGGGTCTTCCTACCATACATAATAACATACTATGTGCCAGGAGCCTCCTCCTGGTCTTTCATGCATAATGCCTAGGGCTAACCCCCGGGTCTTCCTACCATACATAAACTAAATGGGTCGGCATTGTGGCCGTAGACCCATACAAACAGTGAGGAGACTCACCTCGCACTGCTGAACTTTGCTGATAACCCTCTGGCTGCTGTCCGACCACTTTCTGAACCGCTGCTCCACTAGCTCCCCGAGCTACTAATATCAATAAAACACTTAGTTCCAAACTGAACTCTAGAAGTCAAACTAAGTCAACTCTGGTTAAAGTCAAAGTCCTGGTCAAAGTCAACCTTCCAGTTGACTCGACTCGCCGAGTCAACCCGTAGACTCACCGAGTCCTTAAACTCAGAAGCTCTCAAAATACGAACCAACTCGCCGAGTCACCCCAGGACTCGTCGAGTTCAACGATCTCTGAGTCCCATCCTGTCCAACTCACCGAGTCACCACTCAACTCACTGATCTGCGTCTTAACCAGAAGTGGTTGGGGGTTCTGCAACCTGACTCGTCGAGTCCAAGAACAGACTCGCCGAGTCCTAGGCAATCTTCAACAGACTCGCCGAGTTGCTCTTCCAACTCGCCGAGCCCATGCACATATTCATACAACTCGTCGAGTACACCCATGTGACTCGCCGAGTCTCTCCAGTTCTCAATCCATACAGTGGCTTTTCGAGCCATGCAGGGGCTCCAATCCATAGATCCACTCTTCTACAGTCTATCCCTCACGTAAAGTTGCAAACTTTACGTGAAACCAAGGAGCTAAAGGCCCAAAACACTCTAGGGCTAGGGTTTAAGAGAAATGGGCTTCACCAATGACTCATTGACTGCTGCTTTAAGACATTCTGGACCATCACAACCCTAGATCTGAAGTAGCAACCTCAAATCTAAGCCCCAAACCCGAAATAGACCTCAATCTTACCAAAATAGCCCCAAATCTCATTCAAGAATAGATCTAGATGCAAAAAGGGTGAAGGTAACAGCTTATTACCTCCAAGATGACCTCCCACTGAAGATTAATCCAAATCTCTACAAACCCCCTTGATCCAAGTGTCTTGATCTTCAAGATCTCTTCACAAAACCACTTATCTAAGCTTCAAATTGCTTCCAAGGACTCTCACTCACGATTTAGGGTTTCTAGATCTCAAATGGGTAGCAAAGAGGCTGGGGAAGGGATGTAATGTTCTTTAAATAAGGCACAACCCTCGGAATTAGGGTTTTTCTCGTCCAGACCAGACTCGCCGAGTCCACTAGCCGACTCGTCGAGTCGGTCACTTACTCTATGCCCCGGATCCCGCTCCGACTCGTCGAATTCCTCCCTGGACTCGTCGAGTTGACTCTTGACTTAGAGCCTTTCCTTTCTTTT